CAACTTATATTTCCATGTACTCCAGTTTGTTTTTCCTTCTAGCAAACCAATCTGAACTTTAGTTACTTCCATAATTGTTCTTTTTAAAAGAAACTACTTGCGCCGGAACAAATATTACTTATTGTAACGTTAGGTACAGATTTAAACAATACGGTAAGCCTGGGCTCATAACCTATTGATGTTTTCCAGTGGATACTGTTATTTTATCTACTATTTCGGAAAAAGAAAACTTGAATGACTTTTCGTAATACTTTTAATCAAAAAAATTATTATCAATCAATAAGTTAAAAAACCTTAACTACCAGAACAAAAGCAAAATACAAATCAAAGTAATAGTCTGTAGATAATAAGGGTATGTAAATGTAGATACATCAACAATAGGGATGACGTAGTTCGGGAAACTTGGCAAAAAGCACTCTCAATTGCAACTCCAGAAGTGTGGCGGAACTATATATCCAAGTGCGAGAAACTAATAGAAGATTGGTGGACTCGTGAAAATAAAATAAACGAAATAAGTCCAATCATAATAACAATTAATGGTGATGACAGTGATGATGATGACGATTATGATATTTTGGATGATAATGACTGATTTTCATTTTTGTTGGCAAGTTCAATTTTTTTATTGTTCATTTGAAATTCGCTACATGGAACAAATTTTTATGTTAGAAAATATTTTATTTGAGCTAAATAACCCTCTTATTATATATAGACCATATTTTCTGGGTGAAGTGTAATATAAAATTATTATTAGGTTTGTAATAGCCACATTAGAATCCATTAATGAAGAAGTTTAATTCTGCTCTCAATTTTATAAAAGATTCTCCATTATTATTTAATTAAAAAGTTGTACATTATTTTTCATTTCATTTAACCAGTTGATATTTCCCCAAAGAACAGGTCAAACTTTCGGGTACTTACCATAAAATTTTTAATCCAAAACCCGCGTAAGTATAGCAAACAGACTGTATTATTCATTCAGTGATTTACATCCAACTCAGAGGTGTGTTTATAAACTTTTGAACCGAAATGATATCAGCCAGATATTATAAATTACCTATTGTAATATTTTGCCAAATTTCATCAAAATCGGAGAGGAAAAAAATAACCTTTTTTTTTCGGATATGAAATCCGAAATCGACGAAAATTGGATTGAAAACATCTTGAAATTAAAAAAAAAAAGTTTTTATTGCATGGGTCGATAGAGGTCCCTACTTACTTTATTGGTAAGTTTGTCTTGAAGTCCACGGGTCATTTTGCTCTATCTCTTACCGTTTCCGAGATAATCGCGTGCTCAAGATATAGACGAGAGGAAAAGAACATCCTAATTTATCTGTCCTGCTCTACATCTGTGCTTGTTTATAAAGTAATTCGAAAAAAACTGATCCCACCATTTAGTTTTTCATGTTTTCTTTTATATGTACCCAAATTTGCTTTGAAATCCGAGACAAACAATTTTTTTGGGGAACTCATAATCTCAGATTGAGCTGAAATTCGGCATGCACATGTTTCCTATTATTCAGTGATTTTCATTTTCATCAAAATCAGAGGCAAAGACCGATAGGCCCACCGGGAAACAGGTCAAAACATGTACTGCCGCGGTTTTTTCTTGTTTTCTGGTTTTTTTCTTTCTGTTTCTTGTTTTTTCTTGATTATTCTTGGTTTTTTTCTTTCTGTTTCTTGTTTCTTCTTGTTTTTTCCTGGTTTTCTCCTGATTTTTTTTGTTTTTTATCTTGTTTTTTCTTGTTATTTTCAAAAAAACAGTTTCTTGTTTTTTTGATTGTTTTTCTTGTTTTTTTCTCGTTTTTTCGTGTTTTTTTCTTGTTTTTTTTTTTTCTTGTTTTTTTTCTTCTTGTTTTTCTTGTTTTTTCTTGTTTTTTTTTGTTTTTTCTTGTTTTTCTTGTTTTTCTTGTTTTTTCTTGTTTTTTCTTGTTTTTTCTTGTTTTTTCTTGTTTTTTCTTGTTTTTTCTTGTTTTTTCTTGTTTTTTCTTGTTTTTTCTTGTTTTTTCTTGTTTTTTCTTGTTTTTTCTTGTTTTTTCTAGTTTTTTTCTTGTTTTTTCTTGATTTTTCTTGTTTTTTTCTTGTTTTTTCTTGTTTTTTCTTGTTTTTTTTTTTGTTTTTTCTTGTTTTTTCTTGTTTTTTTTTTGTTTTTTCATGTTTTTTCTTGATTTTTCTTGTTTTTTTCTTGTTTTTTCTTGTTTTTTCTTGTTTTTTCTTGTTTTTTTTTTTTGTTTTTTCTTGTTTTTTCTTGTTTTTTCTTGTTTTTTTTTTTTGTTTTTTCATGTTTTTTTCTTGTTTTTTTCTTGTTTTTTCTTGTTTTTTCTTGTTTTTTCTTGTTTTTTCTTGTTTTTTCTTGTTTTTTTCTTGTTTTTTCTTGTTTTTTCTTGTTTTTTCTTGTTTTTTCTTGTTTATTCTTGTTTTTTCTTGTTTTTTTTTTTCTTGTTTTTTTTTTTGTTTCTTCTTGTTTTTTCTTGTTTTTTCTTGTTTCTTCTTGTTTTTTCTTATTTTTTTTTATTTTTTCTTGTTTTTTCTTGTTTTTTCTTGTTTTTTCTTGTTTTTTCTTGTTTTTTCTTGTTTTTTCTTGTTTTTTCTTGTTTTTTCTTGTTTTTTCTTGTTTTTTCTTGTTTTTTCTTATTTTTTCTTGTTTTTTCTTGTTTTTTTCTTGTTTTTTTCTTGTCTTTTCTTGTTTTTTCTTGTTTTTTCTTGTTTTTTCTTGTTTTTTTTTTGTTTTTTCTTGTTTTTTCTTGTTTTTTCTTGTTTTTTTCTTGTTTTTTCTTGTTTTTCTTGTTTTTTCTTGTTTTTTCTTGTTTTTTTTTCTTGTTTTTTTTTCTTGTTTTTTCTAGTTTTTTCTTGTGTTTTTTCTTGTTATTTCTTGTTTTTTCTTGTTTTTTTCTTGTTTTTTTTTGTTTTTTTTTTGTTTTTTCTTGTTTTTTCTTGTTTTTTCTTGTTTTTTCTTGTTTTTTCTTGTTTTTTCTTGTTTTTTCTTGTTTTTTCTTATTTTTTTCTTGTTTTTTTCTTGTTTTTTCTTGTTTTTTCTTGTTTTTTTCTTGTTTTTTCTTGTTTTTTCTTGTTTTTTCTTGTTTTTTCTTGTTTTTTCTTGTTTTTTCTTGTTTTTTATTGTTTTTTATTGTTTTTTCTTGTTTTTTTCTTGTTTTTTTCTTGTTTTTTCTTGTTTTTTTCTTGTTTTTTCTTGTTTTTTTTTTTGTTTTTTCTTGTTTTTTCTTGTTTTTTCTTGTTTTTTCTTGTTTTTTCTTGTTTTTTCTTGTTTTTTCTTGTTTTTTCTTGTTTTTTTTTGTTTTTTCTTGTTTTTTTCTTGTTTTTTCTTGTTTTTTCTTGTTTTTTTCTTGTTTTTTCTTGTTTTTTCTTGTTTTTTCTTGTTTTTTCTTGTTTTTTCTTGTTTTTTTTCTTGTTTTTTTCTTGTTTTTTCTTGTTTTTTCTTGTTTTTTCTTGTTTTTTCTTGTTTTTTCTTTTGTTTTTTTGTTTATTTTTTTTGTTATTTTATTTTTTCATGTTATATTGGTTGTACGTGTTTTGTTTATTGATGATCTAAACTTTTAGCGTTATCGATTCAAGTACTCGCCTTGTACTGAATGCATACGAAAGGTCGATACCAGTTACTTTTCACTCTGAAAAGTAACCAGTAACGATATGTCGCTAATCTATTATTTGTACTCTAGAGTAGTGGCAACGAAAACGCTATAACTGTTGTTTGAGGTTATTATAAAGTGTGTTATATATTATATACAATGAAATTACAGTGTTTGGTGTTGTGTCGCCTGGTATCTTTCTCCCACCGCGGGAACAATGAAACAGCATTCTCTTGGAACATTCCACCAAGTTCAACTGCAGCTGGGAAGTGACCTGCCTCCTCAGATATATGGGTGGAAGATTGAGAACAACTGCCTGGTCCCAGTGCACAGTGAGTTAGCAGCTGCCAGCGCGAAGTGTGGCTGCAAAAAAGCAAACCTCAAATGTTCCACAGCATGCCAAAATTGTCGGCATTTATTTTTTAGGTGCATCGCTGAAGAGTTATCTGGTCAAAAAGAGCAAAATATGTGAGGCAAATTTTTTTTTCAAAATTTCTGACTTTCAAGAGCTGATATATCGAAAACTATGCAAGATATCAAAAAACTTGATTGTGTAAAATTGTAGCAAATTTTATAAGCTTTCATTTTATATTCAGTGGTCATGTTGCTAGGACGCATAGTTTCCGAGATATAAGCGAAAAATGGGACCTTCAGACCCCCTTTCCCCCCTCGTCCCGGCTCAAAGGCTACGAGCGGAGACTTTTGATATGTTCACCTCCTAACTAGTCCAAACAAAGTTACGAAGTCAAAAATTGTGTTCGATGCATACCCTTCTATACCTTTTTTTGAGCATTCGTTGCTTGAACATAGAAAGTTGCAAAAACTCAATAGATCAGATTAACACCTAAATGAAAAAAAGGGGAATTAAATTGAATGAAAGCAAATCTGACCATATTAACGTAAGCAATAAACAATATGCATTATATTTATTAGAATAAATGACACTCAGATTCCATTTGCCAATACAGCAAAATATCTGGACATGACACTTGATGCTAGACTTCGCTAGAAAGTCGATATTAAAAAAAAACGCAAAGAGCTTGGTATAAAATACAAAAGAATGTTTTAGTTGCTAGGAAAAAATTCCAAATTATCCACATACAACAAACTGCTTCTCTACAGGCAGATATTCAACGTTTGCAGAATAAAGTATTAAGGAACATCGTCGATGCAACGTGTTACTGGCGCAATACTCATCTTCTTAAAGTGGAAACTGTTGAACATACAATAGAAATATTTGCCGGTAGTCACCAACAACGACTGTTCTAACACTGGAAAGTTGAGGTTATCCAGCTTCCCTTCTTTAATTGGGGATTTAAAAAAAATTAAATGTTATTAAAGAATTTAATATCAGCACATATTTATGATTTATAATTTCATTTTCTTAATTTTATATAGGAAAAAAGTTTAACATTATAATTCTGTTGTTGTAACTCCCCAATATTGCTGCATCCTATCAAGATCCAAAGAATCGGCTAAACCCCTCTCGTGCATCAGAGAAAAATCGTATTCCAAATTATATGGCATGAGTCTTTGCAAACTCCCAAAATAAGCGGCATGTGGACCACCCAATAACTGTTTTTTGTCCAAAGCAAACCTAGAACTGGACCTTGATAATAAAGGATTAAAAGATTTGGTACTGCCAAACTGTTTTGATAGAAAAGATCCTTGATGGGCGCCGTTTGTATCAGCCAACTGTGGCGAGCTTCTTGAAAGAGCAGCTAATTTTAGAGAAGCTGGTTTATTCCTGGAATTCTTGTTGAGAGTATTTAATTCTTTGTCGAATAGAAGTTGAGTATTCTGCTCTAGCATATATTCCCAACATTTAAATTGTTCCTCGGATAAAGCCGAATCTGAATCTTCACGATTCCTTTCTTCTTCTTTTCGTTGACGTAACGCTTTAGCTACACCTCTATAGCTTCTTCGTTCCGGATTTATTTTCACGTCTACACTTTCAAAAATGGACGGAGTTATACTTCTAACAGATCTATTTTCATTTTGTTTATTTAGTTGCGTTATGAACATTTTTGCTGATAAATTGCAATCGCTGCAATTGTTTTCGCTTTGGCCACTTGGAGAAGATCTGTCATCACAAGGCATCATGGGTGGAGGGATAGGAATTTGCTCTAAACAATTCAGACATTCTTGATTTAGAGCTTCGCAACAGCAGCCTGGTTGGCAAGTATTATTAGAACTACTCAATTCGCTTTGGTATTTGTTTTTACGAATGGTTTGTCTTAACTCTCTCATTAATAAATCTACATCTGAACTTAAAACATTAAATTTCACTACTATTATGCTTAAGTTTTCTTCAGCACCGTAGCTTTGGGCAAGATCTTGTAGTCTTTTAGCAGCTAGTATTACGTTTCTTTGTAACGTCACTTCTTTTATTCCATTTTCTGGAGTTATGACGTCCCATAAGTTTTTGTTCGCTATGATCATGTATTCATCTTGTTCTTCCAAAAATATTTCTGTAATATCTGGATCCGGTATTGTCAACTGGACTTGTGGGTTTGTCCGTATTTGCTTTCTTTGTTTTTTGGGAAGAACTCGTACTGGTCCGGACACTCTGCCTAATACTATTCTAATATCACCAATACTCACTATTTTCATTATGTACTTTTTAATGCTTCCACAGAATGAATACTCTGCAGTTTGTTTTGATTTTAGTACGTGAATTAATATTGCATTCAATCCTAATCTCTGTCCTTTATCTCTTAATGCTCGTTGGATGGATAACATGGTATACTTCATGTAATCGTGAGCTGTTTCTTTAACAGTTCTTTCTTCCAGAAGTATTCTAGGAACCACTTTATCAACACCAACCGGTATATCGTTATTCGATTCACCATCAAACATACCAAATAATGCTTCTGTATTACAAAATGCCGGCAAACGAATCTGTGAGATGTACAATCTCTGTTTACTTCCCGCTGTCTCAGAAAATCCAACAGACCAACAGTGTTCAGTAAAATCGTTTTCGCAAAAAGGAGACGGTGTTAATGGTAAAGTAGTTCTATTCTTTCCAGAAACGTCCACAAGACTCATAGGCCTCTGCGTTCTATACGTATTAAATTGCTGTGAATCAACATGTAATTTTGTATTACACGATAAATCGAGGAATTTTAAATTTGGAGGTATCAAACAATTTAAATCAATACGATCTAATTGATTGTGTGCTAAATCTAAAACTCTTAAACATAAAAGTGTTGACAGCTTAGGAATAGTTTGTAGTAAATTTGAATGTACTCTTAAAACTGATAAATGCCTCATTTTTTCAATAGTTTCGGGAAGTTTCAAAAGTTTATTTCCAGACAATACCAGTTCTTCAAGTTCTGACCAGAAAACAGTGCAGTTTTCAGGAAGCGCTGTAAAATTATTGTAAGCTGCATGTAAACTACGCAAGTTTCTTAGAAAAGGAGCTAGACGATCCAAAGATTTGTCGATAAGGCAGTTCGCTGTTAAGAATAGTTTTTCTACGGGAATTACTTCGTCAGGTTTTGGCAGATCACAAAGACGGTTATTGGATAAATTCAATACTTTCATATTGGGAAGCAATTTAAAAAAAGCATCTGGTAATATTGATAAGCTGTTGTTTTGCATAAATAGCTCCTGAATTGGTAACTTCTTGGTAATATTCGGAAGACACTGGAGTTGGTTATAAGCAACTTGAAGGGTGTGTAAAAAAGGAAATTCGTTACAGAATAAAAAATCTGGTAAATATAGCAAACAATTATTGCTAACAAAAAGAGATCGTAATTCATTGCACTCGGATAACCAGGTAGGAAGCGACTCCAATTCATTGTATGAAATATCTAAATGCTTGAGACCTTTTGGAGGATGAGTTACTAAAATATTCTTCAGTCCTAAAAAGAAAAATTAATTGAAAACAAATTTTTTATTTTCTTCGATGAAAGTTGAGATCAGAAAAACTGTATACCTACTATTATTCCCTGCGATTACTGAGGTAAGCCTTCTTCCATGAATTGTTAAGGTTGTTAGTGAATTTCTGGAACATTGTAGAATTTGTAGCTGTCCAACAGCGCTGAGATCTAAATTTTCGATATTATTCTCGCTTACGTCCAATTCAGTTAAACTCTGAAAATAATATATACAGGGTTTTTCAGAATAAAGTAACATAAACTAATTATTAAGAAAAGCTTGTTATAATTTTACTGTAAACGTGCCAGTTTTCATTCTATAGGATCATAAAGTAATTTACATAAATGCAAAATGTTCTAAATATCTTCTCTTGCGGTAAAAACTTCATCTTAAAAATACGTATTTGCTAGTTAATCACCATTATTAATTAATACACTTTATCTGGATAAATTACGATAATCCATTGGCGTAGAATCAAGGCCTAAGAAAACAATTTTGATCCAAACTTTCTGTCCACCTTATATTTCATAAATTTTAAGATTAATAATTATTCCTTTTGCACTTTGTCAAGGGCCAATTTTATAATAAATATTTAAAGGTCCATTAACTAATGGGACCATAAAGTCCATGAGAACTTGGTCCAATTAGTTAATGGACCTTTAATTAGTTATTATAAAATGATGAAATTGTAAAGATGTCCACGAAAAAATTTTCAATTTTAAATTTAAATAATACACATTTTGTGAGCCTATAAAATTTATAGTTAAATAAAAAGTACTTTTTACGTTAAATGCTTGCCGCGAAGACGAAACATCATATTTCTTAACACTTTCTGTAATGTTTTTTGTGAAATTCTTGAAACTTCGTTGTGGATATTTAGCAATTTGTTGACGAAAACTTTTGATTTAGGGAATCATCATAAAACGGAGTCCGCGGGTGTCAATTTCGGTGACTTGGGGGGCCAGAGTATGTCACCAAATCGACTTATGACTCTTTTCGAAAACATGCGCCTCACAACGCAAGTGTGTGGCGTATCACCTTCTTGCTGAAACCACGTGGATTAGGGGCGTGCGGTCCATGGAAGCGGGGGAAGCGCCGCTTCTCTACACTTTGTGATTTAAAAATAAATATTTTTCAGATTACAATGCATAGAAATTAAAATTAAATTAGGTACTATATTTTTTCTGAAACATTACGTAAACTTCGTAAATGTACTAACAATTCATTGGTGTAATGTGTAAACGCACGCACCACCCATAAGAAAATTAATTGTGTAAACGCCCACACCATATAGGTACTTCAAGTCCGTCGGCGGAAGCGCCTCTTAAAAAAGCCGGCTCATCTTCCAATTGATTTCGCTTCGTGTTATTGACCCTGCTTTGCCACGACACAGTAGTCAGTCTGTTTGGGTACGTGAAATACGGTCGAGAGGCAGCGATTTTTACGTCGCCTTACGCATATTGCAATTCGCACTGCGAATCGACGTGTGAGGAAAATCGTAGTTTTCAGATAGATTTCGGTTTGTTTTTCGTAGTTGTTTTTCTTTTTGTAAAATGGAGGAACTATGCACTGTGCCTATGAACAATAATAATGTAGTGAATTGTGTCTGTATTATGTACTCTTTATTGAAAAAAGGATTTTTAAGTAGAAATTTTAAAGAGAAAATGGACATTATTAATTCTAGTAGACTAAAGGATCCTATCAATTTAGAGACGAAAGTAGAAAAGTCAGCAAAGAAATTTACCAGGCATTTTCACGTAGGGTTCTATGAAAAGTATGAATGGTTAACCGGCTGCAAAACTTTGAAAAAATTGTTTTGCTGGACTTGCCTACTTTTTAATATAGCCGAAAAAACACATTGGAACTCAGTCGGTATTACAGACTTTCCACAAAAGTGTAAAACTACATGTAAATAGCAAATCTCATGTAAGTGCTACAATTAAAGAAAAAATATTCGGGACCTATTGCATTGAACATAGTTTGGATAATAATTTAAAAATAAGCAACAAAATTCACAATGAAAGGGTAAAAAAAATAGGGACGTCTTACAACGATTAATAAAGTTGTAACTTGTTTCCTGGGAGAGCATGAACTAAGTTTTAGGGGGTCACAATGAAGCAAGTAGATCTGCCAATCGAGGAGATTACATGGACCTTCTAAGTTTTTAGCAAAATACGATAATACCCTAAAAAATCATTTTATTGATTCGACGACTTTCCGAGATACCTCAAACAGAATCCAAAATGATTTAATTAAATGCACTGCCGACGTTGTGATGGATCACATTAAAAGTGAAATTAAAAAAGCACCTTTCGTATCAATTGCGCTTGATGAAACCACACATGTAGCAAACTTAAGTCAATTATCCATTGTTGTACGATATGTATTGGATGGCATTCCTCAAGAGCGATTCTTAGGATTTTGGACGTCACTAGCGAACGAACTGCAGATGCATTGTTTAAAATTGTTTGTGACATTATTTCAAGTTTATAATGTGGTTCTGAGCTTGTTGCCCAAAGCTACAATGGTGCTGCCGTAATAGCTGGCCATTTAGGAGGCCCTCAAGCTAAAGTGAAAGAGAAGTTTAAACATGCCATGCAATTTTCGTTCACATAGACTTAATTTGGTTTTATCGCGAAGCATGGATAATATTAAAGATTGCAAAGTTTCCTTTTCGACACTTAGTGGTTTGGCTTCCTTCTTTTCAAATTCAATTTTTTGCTCAACATTTTTGCAGAGATTTTCCCTTTTATTGACATTTTATTCGACATTTTATAGACAAAGTCAAATGACATTGGCTTTTGCATTAAACAAATTGATGAATTTAAAAATAAAATGAATAAAAAACGAGATCAGTTTGAACACTTTTGGAATAAGACTCAAAACATTATACGCCGAAAATTTTGATAATATTTTACAACAAATGAACTCTCGATTTCAAAACTTTAACGAATTAAAATTTATTGAATTGTGCAATTTTAATATTAGTAACTACGATTCATCAAAATTTCTATCGGAATCTTTTAATTCACTAAAATTAAATTATGGAAATTTTTTCGATATTCCAGCATTTAAGTCCCAGTTAAGTGTTGTTTACGAACCAACTGAAATGAGTGATAAAAAGACGCCCACAAATGTGTTAATTTTTCTTATAACAACTGGTTTAAATAAGTCGCTTTGTGAAGTCGTCAAGTTGTGTCAATTAGTACTAATCATCCCAGCCACAAGTGCGTCAGTTGAGCGAAGTTTTTCAGCTTTAAAGCGCATTAAAAGTTTTACACAAAATTCAACAAGTGAAGACAGATTCTCTAATTTAGCCCAATTATCCATTAAAAAAATCTTGTTAAACAGTTATCAGAAAATTCAAAATTTTACGACGATGTTATAGACAAATTTAGGATAGGCGAATAGATCTTAAGTATAAATAAATGTCAACTGCTGTGTCAACTGTGCGAAAAATGGTGGAAAAAATAAAAAAAAACTTAAAAAAAATTTTTATGTTTAAATAAACCAAAGAAACTTTTCAATGAAAAGTTTTTTATAGCTTCTAGTACTAAACAAGGTAATATTTTACAAAAAATAATCGTGTTTAAGACTTTTACAACAGTTGTAAATCTGATGTAGGTAATGTTGAAAATAATGCAATACATATTGTTTCAAGTTTGCAGCATTTTTTTTTTCTTAACATTTTAAACAAACGCGCCATTTTACTATAAATTAACTAGTTCCGGACCTTGGAAATGGCTGCAAATTTAAACTTAGTGTTACTTAAACTAGCCGATTATTATTACAAAGTTTGAAAACTCTTGTAAATAAAGTGAAATGTTCAAAATAAGATGTCTCGTTGACTGGCCTACAACATGAAGACGAAGTACCGACTTCTCTTAGGGTGGCGGCTTCGCCGCCACCAGAAATTATCAACCCATTCCTGGCTATGCTGACCGACATAGACTCCAACGGCTTGGAAACAGCTCTAATTAGGCAATCCAAATCACGTGACTTTAAATGGTGGACTCTTGGCAAAAACAACAAAAGTACGTGATTCTCTTGATCAAAACACATCTAGTGATGTTATTAGTCCAAGTTTGTAATATTTTTTAGAGTTGTTTTTTTTTTTCAATGTATTTAGTTGAAAAACTAATTGTATAATTTTTAATAACAGTCAAATACTAGAAAAAATCAGGTCAAGGAACTTTTTTGTTTTTGCCAAGCTTCGGCAATTTCTGTACATTCTGACACGACGTTGGATTGCCTAATTGAAATTAAAATTCTTACTTAACACATTATATTCTTGTATTATCATCTGCGCATGCGTAAGCATGGAATGTAATACTAAGAACACCTCCACAAGATCCATGGCTACTCTGGCTACTAAAATTCGCACAATGTTTGTGTCGAATGAATACTCCCACCCGCGCCTCCGACACTGTATTCGAGTATAATTTAAAGTTGAAAATTCTTCCGTGGAAACCCTTTTCTTAGATTTCATGTATAAGTAGAAATAAAAATGAAAAAATTCGGAAAAAGTTTGGATTAAAATTGTTTTTGATTCTACGCCAATGGGTTATCAAAATTTATCGAAATAAGAGTGTGTTAACTAATATTGGCGAATAATTACCATGAACATATTTTATGTTAAAAATTTTACCGTAAGGGAAGATATTTAGAAAATTATGTACCTATTTATTAAAAAATTTACTGTATCACCCTGTGAAATGAAAACTGGGGGGTGTACAATAAAATTATATTTAGCTTTTTGTAACCATTATTATTTTCTCTGTTTACGGTACTTTATTCTAAAATTAGAATTAGAAAAAAATTTGATCAATTTTGAAAAAGTGTACTGTCTTAAAATTAAAATTTTACAGGAACAAAAATATAGGAACAATTTTTTTATTAATGAATTGCATGGGCGTGACCTAATTTTATCCCTTAAAAATCTGTAACAACTAATATATATTCTTCAATAAATAAAACTGCTGACCATTCCTTAATACCCTCAAAGTTCGTATGGCCTCACATAGGGAATTCAATGTGTAAGAGTGAGAGGTACAAATTCAGTAGGTAAGAGTGAGACAGAGTGAGGGGAAGCGGGGGAGTGGGGAAAATTAAATCTCTTTTAACGTTGAACAGAAATATGCGATTGCCAAAAGTACCTAAACGTGTTTCTCGGTTATTACTAGTCCGATTCAAACGGGAAAAACGGCATTATGTAGAGAACGTGGTATAGATTTACGTCGAACAGAAAAAATCCTGCGCAGTGACAGGTCAGAAGGGCCTAACAATATCTTTGTTACTGTTGGTCCGATTCAAACGGGAAAAAACGGTATTATGTAGAGAACGTAGTATAGATGAACGCTGAAGAGAAAAATAATGCGCAGTGACCGTCCAAAAGAGCCTAAAACTTATATCTTTTTTATTGTTGGTCACATTTATGTGATTGCCAAAAAGACCTAAGCGTGTTTCTCGGATATAACTAGTCCGATTCAAACGGGAAAAAACGGTATTACGTAGAGAACTCGAAAACATTGAAGAGAAAAATCGTACGCAATACCAAAAGTTAGGGGACTAAGAAGAGATTTAAGATTTTACGAAGATAAAAAGCAAGTTTTAAGAGATTTAACAAATTTAAATCTTTGGAAGCACCCTAATCAGTGTCCATCAACCGATGCAAATATATTTATCCTAATATAGATTTCTATATATGCGTTTCCAGTCTTTTCTTTCACACTGTATAAAATAATTCTAATATTTATATTAATAACTAAAATATTAATACTTACACCATAATTACCGAGAATAATGTGTCCTTTAAGCCTATTCGATCTTAAATTTAATGTTGTGATTCCCCTAGATTCTTCGTTCTTTTCTTCAGGTTCCTAAAATATATATTTACATTAATATTTTTTTTTTTTTGAGAGACAGAATCGTATTTTTAACTTAAAAGTAATAAAGATAAATATGTATATACATTCTTAAAATTTGAATGAAATACAGCTTTTTATAATTATTATTAAAAATCAGAAAAAATCCTCAATCTCGGCAGAGATTCTCACTTAGATCTTAAGGTAGAACGTGGTTACAGAGGAATTCCTTTCTCTACGTTTATCTGAATTATCGATAAACGGTAAACCATTATCGTCCAAAAATTAGTTGAAATAGATTGTTGTATAACACCACAATTTTGTTCTTTAAATCCCCATTATTTCACAAGAGAAAGTAACAACAAACTCTACGTATGTAAGACATAGAAACAAGCTAGCATGAACAATTGCTACCGTAATATACAATGTTATTACATTTACAAATTAAGTGGTGTAATAAAAATTATAAAGAAACGTTATATTACTGTTAATTCTTTAACAAAATCATCGGTAAAACTACAAACAAACAAAAAAATAAAAACTTATATTTGTTTGCTGATTATTTAATATGTTTTGTATCAATTGTAAATCAGCTAAAATGGCACAAATTAAATATGATAGAAGTTTAAACTGATTGAATTAGACCATAAATTATTACTCTCATAACTGTAAATATTACCATTTTGATTGCATTTTTAACATTACATTTTTGTTGATGTTAAAGAACATTGTATATAAATTACAATAATTAACAATAAAATATTTAAATTAGGTAATTATTTAGCTTCGAGTATTTCTATATAGGGTGATCCAACGAACGCATTCAATACCTTCTAGGATAATGACTGTATGAAGCGGCTTGTGTGCAGTGACGTAGCGTGGGCAAAGCGTCGGAGGGAGAGAATCTTTTCTAAAGCACCCAGACCTCTGTGAGGGGCGCAAAAAGTGCTTTAACCGAAAAGGGCGAGAGAGGGGGAGGCGTCCAACGAACGCATTCAATACCTTCTAGGATAATGACTGTATGAAACGGCTTGTATGCAGTGACGTAGCGTGGGCAAAGGGTCGGAGGGAGAGAAGCTTTTTTAAAGCACCCAGACCTCTGTAAGAGGCGCAAAAAGTGCTTTAACCGAAAAGGGCGAGAGAGGGGGAGGCGTCGTTCCTGGCCCCCTATACGCTATGCCACTGTTGTTTGTCTTTTTAGGTCTCGATATGTAAATTAAACAAATTTTATCAGCCTTACAGGTCGTCTGAATAATAACTCTTAGCGGCTGTATTGCAAAAACTATTTATATTACGGCTTTAAAAAAAATGTTATAACAAAATCAATCAAGAGAATATACTTGAAATAATTCCAACTTTCACTTTTCCCTTTAAATGTCCAATAATCGTGATGATAATAATAAAAGAACGATAATTTTGAGCAAATTTTACAAAAGTTTTGTCCAACACTTTTTGTTCTATTCAATAAAATAACTTGTAGGGGCAATTGCGAACCTTAATTTGGGGCCAGTTTTTCAATAACAGTTTAAACTTTCATTCACCTGAACTTGATTGAATCAAATATAGAACGAGATTAACATTAATGGCGTTTTTCAATCTTGTCAATATTACAGTTCAATTGATCTAATTTATATTGGTAGTTCTGAATCGAGGAACTTCTGACAAAACTGAATGGTCTATGTCAATTTGACGTTTTTTAAAAACATATTTAATAAAAGTGAAGATAAAAAATTGTACGAAATGGAAAAAATTGACAGACCGCCAATTTTTTGAGCAACGAAGAAGAATTGTTGCTACATTTTGCTTGCTGTACTCTTATGTGCTCTATAGAAGTAGCCGGTGGTAATTAAGAAAAATCGTATAGTTAACAAAACCATGACTCATCATGACTTTACCAGTTAAAGCATTGTTTCTAGATTTAAAAATATATGTTATTATAAATTTTATTATCGAATTTGACAACAATGTCACCATTGTCTTCACTTATTACTTCGAACATAAAATATACAAAAATTGTAAAATATACTTATATCAAAACATTGATCTTAGTTTAACCACCCAACTTTGACGGTTTAATTTTTGGATAGTTTAAATTAAGTTCAAACGTGAACTACATATGAAATACACCATCTTTCAATTAAACCCAGTTCATTTATTGAACTCAGTTTAAACTTTGATTGACCCTTAATAAAACTGCTATAACTACGGTGTATGTTATTAGATTTTGAAAAATTTAGTATCGAGTAAAAGCATATTATTAAACCAATTACAATAATCCAGCCTTTTATCATAATCTGTTATTTTCAGACCTTTATGAAGGGCTACATATTATGGATCGAGACGATGTTGTTTACGCCTGTGTTGGAGTTTTTATAAAATCGGTAATTTGATTTTTTTGAACAAAAGCTACAAAATGGCATCGAAAAATCATGTAATGATTCCCATCAAATTTCAAATTAATTACTTTTTATTTAAATTAAAAAGAGAAATATTATTGTGTGAACAGTTTATTTTAAACATTTGGGATTAAGGTATACTTTATATCCCGAAATATTTTGAAATTTTGCAAGCCTGGAGCGAGCCGTAGTTTTGCTGTTGGCAAACAGTTTTTACTTTTTACATAGAAAAATCGTTAGAATAAATTAGGGACTGAGCCTAAACTGAAATTGAAGATTAATGGTAAGATTTTAGAGTAAGTATTCTGCATTCACTATTATTAAATTAATTGTAGCTTTGTCCGCCCTACATTTAAAAGCAGATGAGATGGTTTCTTACAAACATTAAAAATAACAGAGAGCAAAAAAGTCAAAGGGTTTTACTAAAAAAACATACAATTTTGAAGCAAGAGTTTGCTACAGGAAGTTTTTAGTAAAAATACTTCGGTACAAATTATTTAAAAGAAGAAAGCAAGGGCCTTTTGGAGTTGAGAAGAAGTTTGTAAAGCATTCACAAAAAGATATTTGAGTAAAAGGTGCCATCTTTACCTCAGAAATACTCTAAAGTAAGGCCGGTAATCGTGACCGGTTAACCGGTTAACTGGTTCCGTATGACCAAAAACCGTTAAAGAACGTAACTGGTTTAACCGTAACCGGTTTAACCGGAACCGGTTTAACCATAACCAGTTTAACCATAACCAGTTTAACCGGAACCGGTTTATAACCGTATAACCGTATTTATGTGTGCCAGCCATATCAACTTCCAGTAAACGGGTGTTTTCAAGTGCAGGAAACATAGTTTCGGCGAAAAGAAACTGCTTGCTGCCGAAAAACGTTGATAAGTTGATTTTTTAGCATCAAAACTCAATTATAAAAAATAGGAAGATTTGTTATTGGGTATTTGTTATTATTTCTTATTTTATGTCCCAATTATAATTTATTTTTGAATTTTTATTTACTTGAATATAATTTATGGTTTTGTTTTTAGTTTTACCTACTTACCCACCCAGTGGGAAGTGAGTGACTGTGACCTTTTTTAAATTTTAAATAAAGTTTAGCAAAAGTAAAATTGGTAGTATTTCTATTATTCTAATTTAATTTTTATTTAGTAGGGGCCTATTTTAAAAAATCAAGCATGCACTGTCTGGTTGTCACGGGTAAGAAAAGGTGAAATGGTTAGTAAAGTGACTCCATTTCTATTGAAAACAAAGGATTTGGTAGATGTGTTAAACCGCTGAATCCGGTCTAACCAGTCCGTTTCGATTGGCTCGGTTTGATCGGACCGGTCGACTGGATAATCGGACTGGTTAACCGGATATCAGAACCGGTTATAATAATAGTAAAAATCCGGTTAAAACCGAAACCGGTCAAAATCAGTCGGACCGGTTAACCGTTTATCACGTCAGGAATTGACAGCCTTACTCTAAAGTATCCCTTGCTGGGAATTAACAATTAATTATTAAATGAATATGAATCATTTAAATTTTCTTAAGTACGGATCTGTAATTATAATTTTTATTGGTTTTTGTGAATGTTACTTTAAATTCAATAAGTTTATTTCAGGAATATCTATGAAAAAGTTAAGGAAAATTAATTTTAATAAATAAAAAATAATTAAAAGCCCTTCAACTACATTTTGAATATAATAAAATTCTCATAATGTACCTACATTTTAACGTTAAAATTTTGGTAGTAAAACAGCATGTGGAAAAATAAAATGTTGATGAACGTATTCAGTTTTTAAGCTCTTTTCAAATTTAAAATTCAATTTTCAAAAAATTTATTTTAGGGTTGGTCAAATTTTAATAATTTTTGTTAAGCCGGACCTGGATTTTGAAATATTTTAATGTGTCGATAAATTGTCCTATATGTGTAGATTATCTATGCCAAATATAAAAAAAATATACTGAGTGATTCAAAACTTATGGAGCACGGAAGAAATGAGCCAAATTCAAAAACACCCTATATTGAGTTAAAATACTTTCCTTTCTAAATGAAATACCCTGTATAAACACAATAGATAAAACTGTTTTTCTCTAATTTGGTACCTATATTTATACATGATTATTATTATTATAATACTGGGTTGTTATTATTTTATTTTTTTTTTTAAGTAAATTATACTGTACGTCCTAGAAACTGACAAAATATATTTTTTATTTCCGATATAAATATGTGTATGTTTGTCCAAGAGGCCATTGTTTTCTTCTATAAAATAATTTTAACTTTTTTACAAAAAACTTCCTGTAGAAAACCCTTTTTTTCAATAATGTAGGTTCTTTTAGTAAAGCTCTTTGAATTTTCTTGCTATTCGTTGTGTTGAATGCTTGTAAGAAACCATGTCGTCTGCTTTTAAATGTAGGGTGGACACAGCTGCAATTAATAAAATATTAATAAAATGATATTTTCAGAATAATATACTCGAAAATCTTAATTTCAATTTAGGCTCAGTAGCTTTATTTCTTCTAACGAGTGTGTAAAAATTAAAAATTGTTTGGCAACAGCAATACTACGACTAGCTCCTTTTTTATAATATTTCAGGATATAAACAAAGTGTTATCCGAATTCAGCTCGGAGGCCATACTCTAATCCAAAATGTTTAAAATAAACCATTCACACAATAATATTTCTCTTTATAATTCAAATAAAAAATTATTCATTTAAAATTTGATAGAAATCATTACATGATTGATCCTTACTGTTTTGTAGCATGTCTTTCAAAAAATCGGCGATAGGCAATTCCAATTTACATGGTGTTACATGACGTACAATACAACCTAAATATTATTTTCCTTAGCTCATTTTAAGCAGAAAAATGTTCTATGAAAATGTATTCAATTCTTCGATCTACAAGCGTTCAAAGTTCAAAAGAAAATTTAATGTAGTATGTCATGTTTTCAAAATGTTTGACTATTTATCAATAATTATAATTTATAAACCTCAGTTGATATAGTCAGTCCTATACTTGTCAACTACGTTTGCAACATTTAATTTGTTTTTTCTACAATAACTATCCGAAATCTTTTGTTACATACGTTAGAGATTAACATATTAGTTTTAAAAATCGAGAAGAACACTTTTCGAGGAAGAAGAACTGTCCGCCGTAAAGGAGGACGATTGATCACTTTGCCATTAAGTGACTTAAATAACATTTTATTTACACATTATGGTAATTGTTTATCTAACTTATGATCATACAGGGTGGACCAATCTTGTGGAAAAGTTCGATATCTTCCTTGTTGAAAGAGATATTAAAAAAGTGTATTAAGAAAATTATGGACATGTTTGAGGTTAACATTTTAAAATTATTGAGAGGTATACAGGGTGTTGCATAGCTCGTGTACGAACCAAACATATGTTTTTTTTAATGATAACCCCAGTATATTATTTTAGATTCTGTTTACTCATCTTTTTTCCATTCTTCTAATATATGGTTTGTCTATGGGGTACTTTTCAAGGAATTGACATTTTTGTGAGAGAATCGTACATAATTTAACGTCTAGCAACCAATTACATACTGTAGTAAAAAATTTTTTTTAACCACACGAATTTTCTAATATGATGTATTATACTTTTTTTTAGTTATATTTTTATTATCTGTTTATTTGTATACAGGGAGACTGAATACTCAGACCCTTGATTTTCTTGTTTTATTTAAATGGACACCCTATATTTTATATCACCAGTAAAATCATGTGTTCGAAGTCTTTCATTTTTATAAAGCATTCCCTATACCTAAAGTTAATATTTATCGATATTTTTTAACAATAAATGAAAATTATGGTTATTTCGATAAATTAAACTAGTTTTTCATAAAATATTCTTTATAAACAATAATAAATAATATGTGTTATTTTTTATCTATTCGCCAATGCATTTAATATACCTGTCATCGTCCAATTGACAATTTTGACATTTTAAAAATCAAGAACAACTGCCTGTGTGTTAATGTTTTAAGTAAATTACTAATAATAAGATGAACAATACGAATTTTTCTATCCCAGAACTGGTGGATATGATTTATATACAAGGTGAGTGCAACAAGAATTCTTTACTTGCCTCCAGAGTGTACCACCAACGATATCCGGAACGCCGGAAACCAAATAAAAAGGCGTTTGAAAAACTAATGGACTGTTTTAATCGTACTGGTACTGTATCATACGAGCAAAAACAAGTAACAAAAACTGCTATCACGGAAGAGAATGAAATGAAAGTATTGTTGAGTATTTATGATGATCCGCATATTAGTAAACGAAATATTTCAATACAACAACAAGTCAGTTACGGAACTGTTCAAAGAATCCTATTAAAACATAAAATGCATCCTTCTATATCCAGTTACATCAAGAACTTCTTGAACGGGATTTTGAAAATAGAGTGATATTTTGTAAATGGTCCCAACAAAAAATTAATCAACAAAATATATTTTGTGCTCTTTGGTGATGAATCGACTTTTCATAAAAATGGAGGTTTAAATAGGCATAATTTTCACTATTATTCTACAACAAACCCACACATTATAGTCACTCATAGCCAAATGAGGTGGTCATTAAATGTTTGGGGTGGGCATTGTGGGTGATTATGTGATAAAGCCACACTTTTTTGAAGGACGAGTAAATAGTGCAGTATATTTGGATTTCCTTAAAAATCATTTTCCTACGTTACTCGAAGATGTTCCCCTTCACATTAGCCAACAAATGTGGTTTTTGCACGATGGTGCACCAGTCCATCACACTGTAGTAACTCATAATTATTTAAATAATCACTTTCCAAGACGGTGGATCGGAAGAGGAGGACCGATAGGGTGGCCAGCACGATCACCGGATTTGACAAAAAGAGTTTTTTTTGTGGGGTTATGTAAAAAACAAAGTATATAATGTACCTGCAACGACAAAAGAGGACATGAAAACTCGAATCAGAAATGTATTTCAAAGTTTTGATGTTCAAATGCTGAGAAATGTGAGTCAGTCATTCGAAATTCGATTACAAAACTGTATTGATGTTATGGGAGGTCACTTTGAACAACTTTTATAATTATGTTTTAATTGTTTTGTTTGTTTTTGAGTTTTTTTGTATTCACACATATTATTTATGACTGTTGATAAAGAGTTTTTTATTATTGTTTATAAAGAGTATTTTATGAAAAACTAGTTTAATTTATCGAAATAACCATAATTTTCATTTAATGTTAAAAATATCAATAATTATGTACTTTAGGTATAGGAAATGCTTAATAAAAATGAAAGGCTTGGGACAGAAGATTTTACTGGTGATATAAAATATAAGATGTCCCATTTAAATAAAACAAGAAAATCAAGGGTCTGAGTATTGAGTCTCCCTGTATACGAATAAAAAGATAATAAAAATATAACTAAAAAAAAGTATAATACATCATATTATAAAATTCGTGTGGGTAAAAAAGAAATTTTTCTACAATGTGTAATTGGCTGCTGGACGTTGAATTATGTACGATTCTCTCACAAAAATGTCAATTCCTTGAAAAGTACCCTATATAACATAGACAAACCATATATTAGAAGAATGGGAAAAAAGATGAGTAAACAGAATCTAAAATAATATACTGGGGTTATCATTAAAAAAAACATATGTTTGGTTCGTACACGAGCTATGCAACACCCGTATACTTGTTAACCTCAAACCTGTCCATAATTTTCTTCATACACTTTTTTTAATATCTCTTTCAACAAGGAAGATATCGAACTTTTCCACAAGATTGGTTCACCCTGTATATTAGTATCAAACTCAAATTGGTTTTGCCCTTCAAAAATTTACTAAATGTATATGCGTCTCGTTAGAAATCTAGATGGTTTAACAAATTACATATTTAGAATATACTTACAGAAAGAACCAGAGCTCTCATTTCCGTCCTTTTGTCGGGAGGCACAGCCAATCGGTTGTTAGCCACTTTCAAGATTTTCAAAAATTTTAAATCCCATATGGTCACTGGTAAAACACTCAACAAATTCTGGTCCAACACTAACTCTTGCAGTCTGCAAAAATAACAAACGAAAGTTACTCACTTCGGCGGATGCACATGCGGGACAGTACCAAGGCCGAAAAGTCTTCACAACTTCCTGCACAAAAATGATTAGTAGATTTTCTTAAAAAAAATTAACAAAATGAAAAATCTATTTTTCACTCGATTTGTTTGTCTAAGTGGGAATGAGGTTTTGTGGAAGATTAACTAGTGCCCGAGTTTGAAGCTATATGTTACGCTTCAGTTGGTTATTATGGTTGTTGAACAGTGGCGTGGATAAATAAAATAACTACTTAATTAGTGTAACATAAATAAATAGTCAGTATTTGTGTATGTACGACATCCGTAGTTTCTGATCCATGTATTTCCAGTTGAATGGTATTTAAACCTTACCTTCCTGTTAGAATAAATAAAACAACAAATACAATAAACAATTTGCGAATGTTTTATAGCGACATTTTTTACTGAAATACAATAACGATTTTTATAAAATTTTCAATATACACAAACCTTTCTTACCTTCTCAAAAAAAAAAATTAATATCTATAAAATTTTAGAATTTGTTTTTTATTTTAGACAAAAAACACTTTAAGCAAAAAGCGCAAGCTTTGTCTTTGCGTCTAGTCAAAAAAAAATAAAATTTGGCATGGTAATGTATATAGTTTCAATATATCCAATGTGTTAAGGGGGGTCAATATTTTTTTAAATGTTTAATAATTTTCATTTTTGAATATATAAATAAATCCAATAATATAAACAATCTCTATCTTATTCTTAAAATTTATAGAAACATTTTTTAACTAAGATTAGACTTTGTCTTCGTGAATTACAAGAAATATACGGGATCACAATAATTTAAAGACTTACAATGAACTGAATAGAAAATCTAATAAAAATAATTTATATTGTAATTCTATTTTAATAGATTTTTAATTATTTACTTACACTATATAGAGTATAACCAGAGAGAAATGGTATTCGAAAATAATTTCAAGAAATTAAGCATCATCAAGAAGTGGGATACAGGACTGAAGAATTTCAGGCTACTTCAGTAATGATAAAATCTAAAACTTCTGATGTTATGGTCACTTCTGTGTATTGTTCTCCAAGACATACCGTTAAAAAAGAATAATACCTAAATTTCCTCCAGTCAAAAACTTAGATTTATTATTGGAGGCGACTTCAAACTTATTGGCCCACAGATAGAAACAAAATACGCGATCTAATAGACTTTTTTGTTGAACGAAATATTTCAGCAAACTACATCCAAGTTGATGAGGCATGAGACATGAATTCAGATCATTCGCCCATTCTTCTCACTCTAAGTGACACCATTATCCAAAAGGAAAACGCTCTTAGACTAATAAATAGGAGAATAGACTGGCAAATATTCAGACTGGACCTTGAAAATAAAATCAATCTTTCAGTTCCATTAAGAACAAAAGCACAGCTAGATGAAGAAGTAGAACTACTTGTGTCCAACGTACAGCAAGCAGCACGGAATAATACGCCCCACCTATTGTTCACCGAACAACAGAAAATACCTATCCTAAAGAAATAAGGGACTTAATCTCTGCAAAAAGAAAACTATGGAGGAAATGGCATCAAACCAGAGCTCCATCAGATAAAACCAAACTTAACAACGCCACTCAGCAGTTAAAAAGAGAGATAAAACGAATCAAAAATGAACCTTTTTGTGAGTACCTTAGTGAGTTGACAAACGATAAATCTCTATGGAAAGCCACAAAGCAATTAAAAAGGCCCACTGTGCAAAATGCTCCAATCAGAAATACAGATGGCAGCTGGGTTAGAAATGATATACAATAAGTTAATAGATTCGCGGAGCACTTACAAAATACCTTCTAAACAAATGAAGGAGGGGAACTACCAAACTGGGCTCCTCCAGAGAGATGACTCAATTATCAGACCAACCTATCCAAAGGAAATTGCAGAAGATATAAAAACAAATATTAATCCTAAGAAAGCTCCTGACTTTGATTTAATTACAGGAGAAATCTTAAAACAACTTCCGAAGAAAGTCATAATTAAACTTACACACCTGTATAATGCCTCATTCAAACTAAGGTATATCCCTAGGTTGTGGAAAGTAGCTGACGAAATATAGGCCAATATCTCTATTGCCTATATTATCGAAACTATTTGAAAAAATACGAACAAAAAGACTGAAACCCATCATTGAAGAAAGGAAACTAATTCCAGATTACTAGTTCGGCTTTAGAGAAAACCGTTCAACTATAGATCAGGTTCATTAAATCTCAAATGCGATCGAAAATGAATTAGAGAACAAAAAAGTCTGTTCAGCCATCTTCCTCGATGTTGCGCAGGCTTTTCATAAAGTATGGCAAGATGGCTTAAAACATAAACTGAATGTGGAAATTCCACAGCCATATTCAGAGCTATTGGATTCATACATTTCAGATAGATCCTTTAGAGTGACACAAGATAAAGCATACTCTGAATTGAAAGAATTTAAAGCAGGAGTACCACAGGGAAACGTCCTGGGACTCACTTTGTATCTGTTATACACTTGTAACATATTTCAACTAGAACAAGATACAATAGCTACATTTGCAGATGATACTGCCATCCTAGCGATATGCAAAGATCATGAAGAGGCTGCAAATAAACTACAAACATCAGTTAATCAAATAAATAATTGGACCAAAAGATGGCGTATTAAACTAAACAAAACTAAATCTGTTAATATTAATTTTGCTAACAAAAATGGTCAAAGAATGCCAATTAACATAAATAATGCCCAGGTCCCTTATACTAACTCGGCAAAATATCTAAGATTGACATTAGATGCAAGACGTCGCTGGAATTTCCATTTTAAAAAGAAAAGACAAGAGTTAGATATAAAATTCAAGAAAATGTACTGGTTACTTGGTAGACATTCCAGCCTATCTACATATAATAAAATTCTATTACTCAAACAAGTTCTTAAACCAATTTGGACCTATGGCATTCAGCTCTGGGGTTGTGCCAGCTATAGTAATATTCTAATAATTCAGAGATTCCAGAACAAAGTATTGAGAAACATTGTCGATGTTCCTTGGTACATTTGAAACAGCGACCTTCATCGAGACCTTCAGATGGACACTGTTGACCAGATTCACTACAACGACTCCACCAACGTTGAGGCAATCCAGCTTTTTGACAACTCGAACCTGACAAGAAGACTCAAGAGAGTAAACCTTTTGAGTTAGCCAAGTGATTGTGTTAATAACAAAGCAAAGCATTGGGCTGTTTAGTTTTACACGTTAGTTCAGTGTACTTAAGTTATCAGACCCTAAGGTATACTAACGAGTAGAACTTTAGTTTTTAAGTTAGGTTATAACAAAATTACTCATTGATCAACTCTTGATCAGATTATAATAATAATAATAAAAAATGCCCCTTATGGACTATCGATAGTTTATGCCTCAACCATCTATAGTGTCGACTATCGATAGTTCTCGACCTCTAGATGGCGGTACTTTTTCGATAGTGGAATACCTATTTTAATATGCCCCCACTTAATAACTTGCTTGTTGATTTAATTGCTAACATCCTAAAAAAAATACATTACCAAAAGTTTCTTTTATCACGTGCCAACTTGACTAAATTGGAAAAAAATACTATTTTGAGGAATATTACAGTGGTCGAAAAATCTACAGCCATTCTCGAGTTGTATAGTTAAAACAAAAATGTCATATTTGCTTTTTGAAAAGAAAAGTTTATTTGATACATTTTCTACAACAACCCACTATTAAATCTTCGATATGACGTTTCGTATCTTCAGGGCCATCATCAAATTAATTTTTGTAAATTTTAACACATAAATTGATAAATCGTTAAAATACTAATGCAGTCATATCAATAACATTTAAACAAATGTAATGCCAATAGAAACTTATCTGTATTATATTTTTCAAAGTAAAATAACGTAAGATAACGAAGTACTTCCAGCAATAGTTAAAAATAAAACACCAAAAAATAGAAACTAAATAAATAATAGATTATATCAAATGTTGAAATTGCTGTAAGATCTGCAAGAAAAATTTTGAAACGGAAAACATATTAATGTTTCGTATGTTTTACTTTATTAAATCTATCTATTATATGAGCCACAATAGACCCATCTGGGTCGCAGTGGAAGGCGATAGATCATCCCACTCATTTTCAACCTAACCTATCTATTATATTTGTATTAGAAGAGAAATAGGAAAAACATAACAAAACTATAATTAAACATTATTGACACTCATGGTGTAATTGTTTTAGATAACTAAAAACATCGTATTACTAAAGTCCGTATTTAAAAAAATATTGATAGCTCTATTGAAAATTTAATGGCACAGAGTTGTAGCAAATTTCGTATCAAACACATGTTTGCTGTCCCATTTTTATATCTTCTTAAATATGCTCAAAAAATACCAATTATATGAAACTTTTCCTTTCCAAAGTACAACTCGTGAATGGGAATAGACCTTGTGGATTTTTTCAACCACTGTATTGTCCATTAAGAATGAAGAGGAGATGTTATGTCGATACTTAAAGTGTCCGCATCTTTGCATTATACTTTTACGTCATATGTCAAACTCAAGCTAGAAGCTAGTGGAGCTAGTTAGTTTTGGTGAAAATAAAGCCATTTTTTTAAATAGCTTCTTGAAACAATATAAAATCGATTTTATTCCGCCAAACTTCAAATATAAAAATATTGACTTTAATACGACGCTAAATCGCCATTTTGATTTTACTTTTTTGTCAGTCAGGCATCGCAAAATAGTGTTTGTGTCATCTTTACTTCATTCTCATCTCGATGGTAATGTTAAACAACATACTTAACTTTTTTTATTATTTCTTATTATTTAAAATATAATAGCAATGTTGGTACGTGTTTACTTTTCCCAAAAACGTTTCAACTTCTTTTTGTAACGCATGTAATTTTTAACCTAACAGTTTTCTGTGATATAACTATATTCCTTGACTAATCTATGTTAAAAATCC